ATTGGTAAACTGAAAACTTACTGCGCAAACAGAGTTGGTGAAATATTTACTTTATGCAAGGCCGAACAATGGAAACACATCCCTGGTAGACTCAACCCAGCAGACAGTGCTACACGGGGAATTGAACTTAAAGACGTAGCAAAGCTCTGGTTGGATGCACCTCAATTTCTACTCAACAATGAGCTTGTTTGGGGGAACAACGAAATAATGGAACAAAGTAATGCTACAACGGTTAGCCCCTCAACTACACCCTTAATCGATTCTTCCAGATTTTCAGACTGGTTTCGATTAGTTCGGGTCACAGCTCGGGTTATAGTTTCTGTCGATACACTGAAGAGAAATGGTAAACGTTCTACCACTATGGAAGACCTAGAAAAAGCTAAGCTCCTCCTTTATCAACAATCCAAGCAGGAAACTTTTGGTGACACCTACAACCAACTACGAACCAAGCAGCAAGTTGAAAACAAAGACAAACTGCAACAGCTGTCACCTTTTCTCGACAACGGTATTATTCGCGCCCGAGGACGACTACGAAACTCACCTTTACCAGACGCAACAAAGCATCCAATAATTTTTAACGCAAAGGACCCAACTGTGCGCATGATGATCGAGAGCGCTCAACGCCGCTGCATGCATCACGTCATTGAGTACATTCGCAACTACCTGCAACAAAGTTTTGTCATCATTGGGCTCCGAAAAACACTCAGACAGATAAGACATAACTGCTTTCTTTGAAGAAGATTCCATGGCAAAGGGCTACAGCCACTCATGGTCGACTTGCCGCCAACTCGTTTCGACGATCCGTCTGACGACCCATTTCCGTTCAAAAACACAGGAATTGACTATATCGGGCCATTCTACATAGCAACAAAGGATACAACTGAAAAAAAGCTATATTTGGCTCTTCACATGCCTCTCTACTCGCGCAATTCACCTGGAATCAACAGAGAACCGTACTACGAACAACTGTATAACGGCAATTAGACGTTTCATTGCTAGGAGAGGCACACCTAAGCTTTTAATCTCCGACAACGCTACTTACTTCGTCGGCGCGCATAAACAACTACGCTCAAAACCAATCAACTTCAACGAAACCACCCTAACTTAAACGCTACAAATCCACAATGTTGAATGGCGCCTAAATCCTCCGGCTGCCCCCCATTTTGGCGGCGTGTGGGAGCGACTCGTCTCATTGATAAAGAGCATTCTTACTAAATCTCGGCTCTCATCGACTATCAAGAGATCTATTTGCTACTATCGTAGCCGAGACCGAGGCAATCCTCAACTCACGTCCGCTAACTCATGTCAGTAGTGACCTTGACGACGACCTTCCACTGACAACCAACCACTTCTTAATGGGTCGTCCATTCGTCTGCGCTCCAGCAGCAGCCTTCTACGAAGCATCTACCAGTAAACTGTCCAACAAGTCCTGGAATCGAGCAAAAGATAGACTTGACAGCTTCTAGAGGCTTCTACTTAAAGAGTACGCTCCGACTCTCGTCAGAAGGACTAAATGGACGCAACCCGAGGAACCACTCAAAAAAGATGAATTTGTGTGGATTTTTGAGGACCTTACACCACGAGGTATCTGGCCACTGGGTCGAGTGTTAGAAGTTTTTACCGGCTCGGATGGCATCGCGCGCTCGTTTAAACTGAAAACAGCCCTAGGTACTTTAACGAGACTAGCGGTGAGACTTGCCCTCGTATCCCCAAAAAAAGAAGATTTAAGACCACTTTAATTGTACTACAACAACAACAACAAAAAAAACTTGGCTCAACTCCTTTCCATTCGGTTCCAAATAAGATCTCCCTGCCCCGAGGATATTCATGACATGAATTGTCTCACATTAATTATAGAAAAATGCGGCAAAATTTTTTAATAATAACATTATTTGTTCCAAATTAATGAGTACTAAATTTGACTTCAACAAAATGACTTTTAAGACATGTTCATCAAATTGTCTTGAATATGAACTAAATTGTTAAAAAAGCATCCCTGTTATTTATAAGCCCCTGAGTGAAAGTTCAAAATAAAACTTTTTGCAACTTTCGAAAAATAAGTACGAGGAAACTTCATCGTTACAAAGACACTTTTTTATAATTTTAAAAAAATCAACAAAAACTCAAGCAGTGAAAGACAAGCTAAAAATAAGTTTTCTGGAAAGATGAAGAAAGAAAGAGTTTGTTTTTTTGTTTTTCCGTAAATGTGATTTAATTTCAACTTGTAACATCAAAAAAAAACATATACACAAAATGGAGAGTGTAGATAACAGAGAAGCTTGTGTAATCAGAATCTACCCATAATTGGATTTCAAACTATGAAAAAACAATCAATAAAAGAGGGAAAAAACTTTTTCAACTATCTCAACTTTTCCTAACTGAGAAAAAACCAAACCAAAAACGATGAGCTATCTATGGTTCTTAAGGTACAGCTAAAAATTTTGTACTTAATTTAACCATACCATTCATAATTAAAAGAAAATCATGAAAATTTGAAACAAAAATTGCAATTTTTCCGAAAACTAAGCAGATTTGGAACGTCATACTTTGCGCCTTAACTATTGTCCCCGTGGAGTAAAAATTCAAGCAATTATTTGGTCTTCTCGCGAAAATTAATCAGAAGTTGATTTTGTTAGCCCATGATTTCCTAAAATGTATAAAATCTAATAGTGAGGGCAACCGGTAGCGTTCGTTTTGTACTTAGTGAGTAAAAATTAATCGACCTTATTCTATTTTCTTGAAGAATGTTGAAAAGTTTTGTTATCCGATAAGTAAAAGGTTGTTTTTCTACCTGGGATTTTATTTACTGCATTTTAAACCTTTTTTTGGATTTTCTGTTTGTTTTCTGATTAAAAGAACTATCGAAATAAAAAAAATGACGAAGAAAAATTTTAATGAAAATTGGATAGCGATCTCAGTAAAAACTCCAAAAATAGGTTAATGAACAGTTCGTGTATTGTCTAAATTTTGTTTATTCAAAACATATCAGAAATGCATTCGTATTTTTTTGAAAGAAATCAACCGGATAATCTTTTTCTGTAGAACACAAAGCAGTTGTAAAGCACTCTAGCCTGTGCTATTATAGACTAAGCTTCCGTTTTGGATAATAAAGCTACTGTTTGACTCAAAGTGAATTCACAAAACAGAGCTAGGCACGTAATGCCCTGCCTTGGCAACTATTCTACATTGCTTTTGGAACTTGTTTTTATTAAAATCAATGGGATAAGATTATTTTAGTTTGTAATCAGTGCCTAAGAATTGAATTTCAATTTATGGCGTTTATACAACATTGTGTCATTAAAACCGCTTTTCCTCGTAAAATTAACTTTTTTTTCCATATTAAATGAAAGATGAAAGTCTATTAGCAGCAGCCAATTGCTATCAAAGTGCTATCAAAGTTGATTGATCTGCAAACGAACATGCATTCGAAGTTTTGACCATGAGCGGCATATCATTAACATATGAATGGGAAAAAAAAGTGAACCTAAAATGGATATTTGCAGTACGCCGAAGTCTACATTTCTCGAAAACGACTTTATCATAGATAATGCAACGCATCTTATTTATCGTATCTTACAATGCGTTACTTGCCATTCGTCAGAAAATTCGAATCTATTGGTGAAACTTACCAACTAGCCCGTTTTTTTGTAGCTTCCCTAATCAAGTTTGATGATTGAGTGTTTCGAATGCTTTTCTTTCGAGATCAAGAAAAACTGAAAAAATTATTGATTTTTGAAAAATGCACGTTTTCTGTTACTTCGGTTTATCCATCAAAAGTGCTATGTTTCCTTCTTTATCCGAATTATTCACAAAAAAATTAAATGGCGTGCTCTAAGTAACCATAAAATCTGTTGAACATTACCCGTCCGGATATTTTTCTTAAAAACATCCTTAAAAGTATTGGCCAATTTTCATACCTAGCTTATATGCGTCTTTCTGAAAAGACATAATTTTAGCTTTGGCAAGTTGTGTTCAAAAAGTAGCTTACTTGATGGAAGCGTTGATTAGAATTGTTACACTTAGTGCAATCGAGTAAAAAGTTGAAATTGAGTAAAACCTTTCAACGCACTAGCTTTTAAAATATTTTTATGTATCTCGTCTAGTCCTGTTGAAGCTTTTGATTTTCGCGCACATAGGGTGGTTTCAATTCTATAATCAGTCAATGTTCTTAATAATTTTGAGAAGCTATGCTTCGTGACTTCTATTTCTGGTAGAGGTGACCAAGTATTTCGCAGCAATTTATTTGCAAATTGCGCAAAAACTTTTTTGAAATCACTTGCAATTGGTACTGAGTCAGTATGCCTTTCAAAGTTTTCTGCTATGATATCACTGACATCGACTGTTTCGGTTGAAGCTTGACTCGAGCACAACCCTCTTGATCACCTCAAAATTGCTCAAGCACTTGGAAATGGTCGAGCACATTATTTGTGGTTGAGAAAGTAGAAAGTTATCTGATTTGGGTGGAGCACGGACGAGCATATTTTTTCGTCGAGTACGGTTAAAAACATTTTTTGCTTGGACCTAGCACATTTTGTTTTCGGCTGAGCACAGTCGAAACATATTTTGCGTAGATCGATCGCGGTCGAGCACATACTTTTTGGTCGAGCATGGTAGAAGCTTATCTTGTTTGGGTTGAGCATGGTCGATCACATTTGTTCCGAGCACGGCGGAAACGTACCGATTTACGGTCGAGACGGTCGAAACATACCGATTTTTGGTCCAGACAGTCGAAACATCAGTGAACACCTCAACCCGGGTTGACTTACAATTCTCCTATTTTAAAATTTTGGGGTTCTTGTCACATGGAAGATTTTGAATACACTTCGATCATTGAAATATTTTGTCCGGACGAACGTTTGGTATCACGATACGCATTTTCATTTAGCTCAGATGTTTTCAGCTGTGACTCAAATAGTCCTGATTGGTTCAATAATCAGACTTGTAATACAATACAATTTTGATTTTCTAACTGATATAGCTGATTTGTTTCTAACACCGCGAGCAGAAACAAAACATTTAGTAATTAATTATGTACAAGTTAGAATTGTAATCTAATCAGTATTTGTAGAGAAGAAATTTCAATCGCCTTTCTCATTTACTCCCCTAATCATCTTTGGGTTTTAATTACTCGAATGCAAACTTATTCCACCCAAAAACCGGGTTACCGCAGTTTCAGTTTTGCAAAAAGTTAATTTTGCAAACTATTATTAGCCTCGAATCATTTGATGGTAGCAAAACTGGCAGTATTCATTTTACCTTGATCAAATTCATTTTAAAAAAGGCTCAGTTTTTCTATTAGGCTTTAAAAAAATTGGAGGCCAAAATTATTTTGAAAATATATTTATAAAAATCCGAATTGCGATAAAAATTATAATCTCAAATACTTTTCAAAATATTCATCCAGTTTTATTCATTCTTGTTTTTCACTGATCATGGCTTGTTTTGATTAGAACACAGAATGATTTAATATTAATTTCCACAGCATAAAAAGAATTTCTTGCACATGCCTTGCATGCCTTACCTTGTTTGAGCTCTACGATCTTTGACTTCGGAAATTGCCAATAAACTTTCACTTTTATTGTGGCAAAAAAAAGAGAACGATACTGGTAAGTGGATCAAGTTTGCTCACGTTGAGTCTCTGCTTGCACATAAACGGATGAAAAAAAGTAAAGCAACCAAATGAATTTAAAAACTCAAAAAGTATATCTTTTTTGCCAGTATCCCGGGATGACCAAAAATACTAGTCATACAATTTCCATATATGGAAAAATGCTAGTCATACACTTTCCATACAATTCCATACGTACAGAAAATTGCATGAAAGTCTATGATTAGTATTTTTTCATATATGGAAATTTTATGACTAGCATTTTTCCATAAATCAAAAATGTTGATTTTTTACCTTTTAATTTCTCAAATTTTTTTGGTTGTGTTGGTAACCGAACACAAATGACATAAACCTTGATTACTCAAACGTAGTAACCGACGGTTTGGCTGCCTCGCTTTAAAAATGCATTGGAAACAGCCTGATATGTGTTACTTCTGTCTCAGACAAATAACATAACGAAAGTAATGAACTTATAAATTTTGGCAATAATTTTCAAAGATGATTATTTCTAAAATTTGAATTTTTAAATTACCAGACATTGATCAAGGCATACAAAAACATGTCATACAAAAGAAAGAGGAGTTTTAAGCGTTTTTGAAAAAAGTTATGAAGAGAAAAGGAAAAAAATCCAATATTAGTATATCCAGGAGTACGTTATACACACAAAAAATTAAATTTTGCATGCAATTTTTTTTTTCAAAAAATGTTTGTTTGAATACAAAAATCAATTTGCGGTTAAAAAAACGAAAAAAATTTTGGAGGCAATTTCAAAAATACTTTGTTGTCGCCATCAAAAAAATGCTAGTCATACAATTTCGATATATGGAAATTGTATGACAAGTGTTTTTTTTTTCAGAAAACAAAAATATAAAAAAAGTCAAAGTTTTCAGTCATAGAAGCCCAAAAAACGCTTAAATGATTTGCCAGCAGTTGAATTGATTGCTCAAAGCTTTTTTTTTCACAAAAAAAATTTGTAAAAAAAATTCTAATCATACAATTTCCATATATGAAAATTGTATGGTTAGCAATTTTTTTCATACCATTTTTTTCCTTTTTTTATGAAGAGACACCAATATCGATACCAAAACAACTATAAAATACCTTTGAAATTCGATTAAATTCATTCTGCAAAAATGTATGAAATTTGTATGACTAGCATTTTTCCATAGACTAAGTGTATGAAATTGTATGATAAGCATTTTCGGTATATGGAGGTCAACCCGAGATACTGGAGAAAAAAGTAAGGTAACTACAAACGTTATGCAAAAAATGAGAATAACTCTTCAAAAACACATTGCAAATTCAAAACTACTATGTTCATTTTCCGCGGAGACTGTAATTTGCCTATTTTTTTGAGAAAATTACAAAAAAAAGTGAGCAAATTTCGAAAACAAACAACAAATACCGTTTTTTGAAACTCTTATTGAAATTTCAGTTTTTGTAGAACAATTTTAAAAGAGCATAAGAAAATATCAAAAGTTACATTTCTCAAAAAAAAAGATTTTTTTTTCAGTTTCAATTGATTTAGTCAAAACAAAGTGCTCAAAACGCGATGTTTTTACCCGAAAAATGAAAATCTTCGATGATCACAGGGTTTCATAGAAAACCAATTTGGCTTTTGAATCTTATTTGGTTGCAATATTTTTTCCACTTTAGTTCTCTTCTTTCTGATCATTTGATCTATCTTTTTGATACTCAATTTTAATTCTAAAAACTGGAAGAGAAAAACAAATCAACTAGTTTTTTTTACAAATAAAACAAAAGAAAATTATTTGCTTATAGTATAGACTATTTTGAAAACTTTTAATTCAGTTCTAGCCTCAAACCACTAGTTAACTGCATTTTTTGTGGTGCATACAGGGATTAATTTAAAATACAAAATTATTTAAAATACAAAAAAAAACCAAAAGTTTTATCAGCATATTCTTGTAAACAGTAATATAAAAAAAGTATTTTAAATTAACATTAACATGCATCTTTTGTTGAACTGCATCACTATGAAGAGTGATTCTTTCTTGTAAACTCGTCTTAAAATCAGTTTTTCTTAAACCTGTTTTCCTTTACAGTGAGAATTTTTTCAAAATTCAAAATATCGATCGAATTATGACTGAACAAATTTTTTATAACTCCACCTTATCTGACGTTTTTTTTTAACCTGATGTGAAAACTCGCCCGAAAAAAAAACAAAAAACATTCGAAGAAGAAAAATATTCTGGAAAAAAAGTAACGCAACCAAATAAATTCAAAACTCAATTAATTTCAAAACCCAAACGAAACTTTGGATCATAAAATAGGTTCATTTCTTGTGTAAAAACAAAACGTTAAAAACTTATTTTTGTCTGATTCATGAACTGAAACCAAAAAAAGTTGAAATTTGACAGACAGTGAGCCCCTTACATCGAAGGAACAAATTTGATACATTTTGATGTCCGGACAAAATCAGTAAGTACAGAAGAAAAAAAATTCATTTCACTTTTTGAGAGACGCGCTTTCACTTTACCTTTTTTTCGCTCGCTTTAGAAAATTTTACAACAATTGCTATAAGTTTTTCAATAAGAGCCTTGAACAATGAGCTTATTTTAGTTTTTTTTTTAAGTTTCTCAAATTTGTTGTAATTTTCTCTGACAAAAACTAGGTATATCACTATCTAGTGGCAAATACTATTCATTGTTGTACCCTAATTATTTGTGTTTTCAAAACTTTCTCTCATTTTTTTGTTTTTACTTTCTCTAGTTGCGCTACTTTTTTTCTCCATTATAACTCATTCGAATAAACAGTATCTGTTCACATCTTGGTTGAAGCAAAATATCTAATTTGATTCATTGTTTTTTTGAAACTCTTAAATCTGGCTTTTTTAATGGTTTTTCGATTGAAAACGTATCTAGAACTGAATCTCAGTCAAAACTAAAGATAAAAGTAACAAGTTATCTTGGTATATTCAGGGGCTTTTTGGGCTAATAAATTGCTATATTTATGTGAAGATGTAGCAAAGGTTTGTTCCTGAGGTGAGTTTTTGAAAAATCAGTAAAAAATTATCAAAGTTTACACGAGATTTGATTATATATTTTGATGGCCGGTCTAAGAGAAGAATGATCGAAGAGCAGAGCAAGCCCAAAAAAATCAGATCACGGCATTAGTTTCCAAATGTAAATGAAACTCGAACAGTTCACGCGTTTATCCGGCACCAATCGCATTGTTTGTGCAGTTAGAATTTTTACCAATTACAAAATATGTGTATGGACATGGTTTTTTTTTGGTCAAGCCTTAGCTCTCAAACGGCCGTGACTTTGCGAGAGTGGGACTCCATGCAAAATCTTTCTCAGGGCTAGCACACGGCAAAACTTGAAAAACGCGGGGTGAAAAAGTGGAATGCCAATTCGAGCTTTGGTTAGTTTTTTTTTCTGCCCTTGGACCCGTTCTGCTCTCGAATCTTTCTTCTCAGTGTAACCATTCGAAAAAATTTAGACTTAATTCAAAATATGAGATATTTTTTTACTACAATATAAACTAAATCCTCGTTTCTCGGTTCTCTGTAAAATTATAGTTTGCCGTTGTATATTTAGCAATGAAAAATTGTTGTCCACATTTTGAAACAGCTTTTTCTTGTGAAAATAATAGATTGAAACTAAAAGCTTGGCGTGGAATTTGATCTAGATTGTTCAATAAAATGAATATGTTATTTTGCACTCTAAATAAACCTATATGATTTTTTAAAGATGATGAACAATTGGTATAAACTTAAGTAACCAAATTAATCCAAATAGGTTTTTTCCAATTTTCAAATAAACCTTACCTTAATGCTCAACAATTTTTTTCAGTTTTGATATTTGAAAATTATGGGTCGATCTGAAGTTTAAATGAGAAAAAGACTGCTCGTATCAGGGCAAAGAATTGAATGTTCCGACTGCTTTGTAAGCTTAATGGAAATGGGTTCGCTTTAAAAGATATTAGGTAAAATGATTTTTAAAAAGGATTAAAAAAATTATAGTGGTCATCAGTAATCATTTTGTCTGCTGAATTTTTGTGAATAAGGAAACCGGATCCAAGAAAATTTTTCAAGCTAACTTATATAATATTTTAAAAAATTTTAAAATTTTTTGTCATTTTCTATTTGATTTTTCATAAGCTGGAATGCTGTTTTAAAAACTTTTTTTATGGATTCTCAAATCTTGATAAAAGTTGATGGCATCAAAAATGAACATTTTCATTGATTATTTATCAGCGATTGTTGAGATGATAATCTAAAACCATCTCATTATATCAAACTTCGGTAAGGGCTTGTTTATCGACTTAAATTTGTAGTGTCACTTATGTTTGTATACTTATGACCACTTTTCATGTTGATGATTGAGATAACGCAAATTTGCTACAATGGTAAAAATTGTTGAGCAAAAGCAGCCTATTGTCAAAAACTAATAAGCCATAGCATAATCAGTGATCAAACACTGTTTTTACAACTCGAAGTAATGACATTTCTGCTAAAAGTGTGGTATAATTAAACTAAGCTCACTTGAAATGACATCTGGTATTGAATTTTCAGATCTGGAAATGGTTCTTCGAGCCCTTCAGTCATTAATATGCTGCTTGAATAAATTGTTTACTTTTCTAATATCTTAACTTAACTTCTTTTTTTTGCATTGAAATGATAAATAATTTATTAATGCCACTTTTCAAATATTATTAGATTTTAAATGCGAAAGGATCCACGAGAAACATCGATATGATACAATTGGAACTTCGAAGTTTTAATTGATAAAAAATAACAAACAGCCTTTTCAAAATGAACAAAACTGTTCGTATCATGGCTTAAGCTTGGATGAACATTCCGACTCTCTCCAAGTGTGTCTGAAATATTTTTTGATTAAACATTTGATTGAAGATGGACCAAGTTAAGAACTTCCAGCCCATCATTTAATTCGGATTACATTTGCTAAGAAATTCCAATTTAGAACTGCTTGGGGGGATGTTATTTTGTCCAAAAATACAACAATGGCTCAA